GCCAGCAACCACTGTCTGGGTTTCTGCCATCTCTGCAAATAGATTTTCCCTGACTATTTTTTTTCTTTTTGATGCTGATTGAATGCTCTAGCCTCAAAAACCACACTCCTGTTACAGATGAGGTGGTAGAACATAATGTCTGTCATCTGTTGAACTTTTAGGCTTATGCATCCACATGTTTTATGTTCTTTACTAGGCCTAGTCCAAGACCCACAGTCAGATCCTGCAGTCCATTTCTGCTCCTCTTTCTGTACATAGAGCAGTACTTTTCTTCAATCCATGTATGCTTTTTCCTAGAGCTGTTGAGTCCAATTCAGCATTTCTGAAGCTTGTCTGCTTCACATTTGTGTGTGAAAATGCTGGGGAGGCCAAAACATTCAGGTGTATGCAGCTAGTGTATGAGGAGTGTGAAGGTTGGAGTTACTCTCTGAGTGGGCTAAAGAGGAAGAGGATTCCAGAGGGGCGAAATGAAATTCCCTGTGGCCAGAAGTTTACTTTCAAAGGAAGAGAGATCTGGGAACTCTCTGTCTCCTTGGTCTTAAATGACCTCTTCAGGCTCTCCAAGGTGGAAATACTGCATGCCAATACAGTACAAGTGAGGGAAATAAATTTTAGGGAAGTCTAGAACATATGACATGAGAAAAGGCTAATGTGAACTGTCTTGTTCAAACCTCCAGAAGAAAAGGTGAGCAGCAGATCGTATTGCTGTCTTAATGGGAGGGCAGAGAAAAAACAGAAAGAGATTCTTCCTTAAGCTGAGATAGAAGAAGAAGCAACAAGCACAATTTGCAATACAAGAGATCAATTTGACACTGGGAAAGAAAATTTCACAAGAATGGTCGAGCCCAGGAAGAGGTTGCCCAGGGAAGTGGCATCTCCATCCTAGTAGATGTGACTCCCTTTCCAACTTAACCTGGACTGGAAAGGGCCTTGAGAAACCTGAGCAAATCTAATGCACTCTTAGAAAGAGATTGCAAAATGACTTTGAAAAGTCCCTTTCAAATGAAATCTATAGCTCTTACTCAGTTGGTCAGTGAAATATTAGGATAAAGTGGGTACATTACTGTTTATGCAGTCTAGGGGAAGGAGAATGTTTGGAGATAGCATTTAATTTATGTTTCTTAAAATTTATTTGTCAGTGCTGTGATTTTGAGAGAATCTACAGGCTGTCTCCTTTTTGCTTGCGGATGTGTGGCATTAACACTATACATAAGCACATCTGTTTGAGATTGATAACTCAAAGTTGAGCCTCTGTGCTCAGGTATTGTTAAAAGACTGAACTGAATGTCACTGGTGCACCCACTGAGCACAGCCAGATACAGGCTTCAAAAGATAGTCTTGTATGGTTTGCCATAGGAAGACCTGGGAGATAGAGTACATGTTAGGATATTTTATGTATTCTGTTCTAATTATGTTCTCATACTCAGAAAGGTTACAGAAAGAAAAAAACTTACATTCTCTTAATAAAAGATTAAGAAGAACATGGGAGAATGGGCAACTACACACTGCTTTCTACAAACACACAATGTCCTGTGATGTGTAACATTTCTAAAAATGGAGAAATGCCAAGATGTTCAGATTGACATTTCAGTGCATGTCTGAATTCAGTGTCTGTCTGAAATATAGGGTTCAACAATCCTATTAGGTGTGTCTGAAACTCCTTCTTTAGCAAAGTGCCTCCCATAGCTGCTATAAGACAGAGCAGTGAAAGCCTCATACTCTGTGCCTCATCCCATCATTCACCAAAGCTGTATCGTCATCAGATGAAATCTATTGTTTTCTTTCCTGCTGTGTGCTATTGATTTTTTTAACCTTTCCTAATGTTAAATTTGTTTGGCTTTTAAACTTTCTTACCAAAGGTTAATGTTATTAAGTTGAGCGGGTATCTATAAAACTACATGTGTTATTCCCTATCTTGCATTGTTATACTGTCCTTTCATTAAACTCTGACTGCATTGGATAGCTCTGTCTTGAAGATTTTTGTCATTCCAGAATAATGCAGTGAAGGTTGAAAGGAACTGCATTACAATTGTCATCCAATTCTGTGGCATAAAATATTGGAGTTGATATGTCAGGAGCAACAGATTTATCTGAGGCTCTTATACCATCAGCGAACATGAACTGCACAGACATTAATTTCAGCAAGACTGTAAAGAGGATGCAGTATCCAGTTCTGCTGCTTGTCCCCTCCCCCTGTTCAATCTAACCGTGCCAGTCTCTTTGACATTGTGGCAAAAGGAGCAGTACTAAAATCTCTGCCAATTCTACAAGTGGTTATCTGTTTGATGTGGAAAGAGAATGAGAAATCACAGTTTAATTTGAAGATAGTGCTGGCTTTAATGGTAGCACTCTATCAACACTTTTTGATATGATGATCTACAGCAGTACTTGTGTAAAGCATTAAAGGTACGGGCAGTGAGTAAACAGCTGCAGGCACTTATAAGCCCCAGCACCCTCTTACTGTACTCATAGGTACAGTAATCTACTTTTAATGAGTATGTATTTGACATCCCATTCACATATTTACTCTGCATTCCAGTGATATGTGTTTGAGGCCTTTTATGTGAATATGGACAGAAGACAGTAGCAGGGCTGAACATACATTGTCTATGCATGGTACATCATAGCTTTCTTCCAGAGCTGAATGACCTTCAGTGCCCTCCAATCACTATGCTAATATTATCTTGCCTTGGAAGTACCTTGCACTTCCTCTAGAATAACAACTTTTTGTCAAAGAACATCCTGAGAAGGTAGAAAATAATTAAACTCAAGAGAAATGTTTCTAGTAGTAGCATAAAATAATAAATCATAATTTAAGGTGTTGTAAACCATTATTTAAAAATAACCAGAAAAAAAATATGAAAAAAAACCAAAAACAGAAAAAAACAAATAGAAAAACAGATAGCTTGATAGAATTGCAGTTTACCTTCTGCTGACAAACCTGCCTGTTCAAGATCAGGCTTGTTAATGACTGCAGGAAGTAGTATTTTTCAGAGGCAGGGTGGGGATTAAATTTTTCATTCATAAATTGGTATCTATAAACTGCTTACTTCTGCCCATGTTGTGAAGCCAAGGAATGGCCCTGGCAAGAGATAAAAGGCTTGACTTCTCTGCTGCAATTTTAAGAGCTGGCGACTGAGGCTGTGTCTTCTCCCATACTCAGCAGTAGCTGTCCCTGCCACTGATTTAGTCTTCATCTGTCATGTTCTCAAGCTGCTCAGAGACTGTCTGAGAAATACTGAAACATGAAATACTCATGGTTTCTCACAGCTTGGTCTCTCTTCCCACAATCAGTGCTGATAGTCAAGACTGTCTGAGAGCACCCCATCCATAGTGAATAAGACACCTTTTCATTTAGAGTGGCTTTGATAAACAAGGTCCCTTCAGTAGTTTTCAGATCTGAATGAGTTTTCCTGAGTGAGACTGAACAACCCTATACCTTTCCTGGGCTCCCTGGGTGTCTCTGGCTGGTGTTGCCAAACTCACATGTTCATTACAGGCACCAGATGGCCTGGGTCATGTCTCCCCCTGCCAATTTTACGTTTTTGGTCTTTTCTAGAGAAGAGTAGAGATATGGGAGCTCTTCAAAGAGTTTTGTGCTTAGCACTGAGTGCAGAATCCAACTGCCTTTTCCCTCACCACTTTGCAGGGGAAGTAGCATCATTTCTTCAATGGAGGTCTCTGATTACATGTGCTGTTGCAGCTACATGATGCTTCATCTTGGCAAGCCTATTATTACTACTTGAAAAACTATTTAGAGCAATATCAGGTCTCAGAAAGGCTGCTACTTTTGACCAGTTTTCTTTCAGAAGTTTTTGAAGAGAGAAGTGTAATAGAAAACCTGTTATTATCTTCTTCCTTTCCTCTTTTACTTTAGCCATATCCCCTACTGCCTGATGACTTTATTTGGTTTTATATGCATTCTGGCTGTGTGGAAAACCATTTCAGTGGTAGTGTATATCCTCCTGTTGGAGGCTTGTTACTTTGTTGCATGCAATTCACTAAACTCCATGCCTTCACTAATCCTGGAAATTTTGTCTTCTCTACCTTTATTTTTATCACCAAGGTAAAGGCAACTTTAATATTTTTATGTTGGCTTTGTTATTTGGGTTTTTTCTGATGTAACAGAGTAATGTACTTTATATACAGAGGCACACGTACAAAGATTCTGTATTCTGAATGCTTTTCTCTTATCAGTTGTTATTGTGTATAGCAGAAACATAAAATCTGTCAAGTAAGACAAAGCTAGGAGGCTTTTAAGGGGACCTTGAAGTGGTAGGAGAGAGAACTTCTAAATCCAATGTGTATGATTCTTATTTTAATTCACAGTGCTGTATTGGGTATTTTTTATTCTCTAAACCTCTTTGAATAGAGACTTTATGCAGTAGATACACTTCACTTTTCCTTACTCAGCTTTTTATCAGAGGCTTAGAAATTGCTTTAGCTCTCAGTTAAGAAATCTGAACTCCTACTCTTCTCCAACATGTTCTCAGCCATAATACCCCAGTGCAAGAAAATTGTTGAACCACTAAAAATTGGCTGCAGTACAAGTGCAGCGTTTCTGGGGTGCTTGAACACTTTTGTGTGCTGACATTTATACAGGTTTGAATGTTTGTAGCAGAGACACAATAAGTGCAGCACCAGAGAGAACAGTCATTTTCCTGAAAGTTACCAATCACCCAGGGCTCACTACACCAGAATTTGTCCATCCAGCAGACCACTGTAAAACGTGCTTATCCAAACTCACAGATGTACTCAAATGGCTTTGAGTATATACTCAAACTGAGTATATACCTATCAAACTGCTGGTTCATAGTAACTAGTTCAACTGGGACCTACAAAGGGTATGGGTCTTTTACTTAATCCTGCATCTCCCTGCAGAGACGCTGAGTGGTTGTCTGCAGTTCATTTCACCAAAGAGATCATTAGTTCTCAAAATTGAAAAATTACTGACTTTTTTTTTCTCTCTCTCGCTCTCTGTTTTGTTTCTTCTTCACTAGGGCTGTGAGTTAATTGAGACCATGGATCAGGACCTCACAGATTTCACCAAGTGCCTTCAAATACTCCAGAAAAAGATAGAGAAGAAGGGCCTCCAGGTAAAGACAACACATCTTTTTTCCTGTGCTCCTTAGTAATTACTCTTTTTTCTCATTGTATTTAGGTTAATCTTTCAAGTTTGCACTGAAATGAAACTATTTTCAGTAGCCTTGACATTCTGCAGTTTTGCCATAATTTACTGCACATTTGTAAGCATTGATGCATCTGCTAAAAGGAATTACGAAGTGTGTCGATGAACAAGTGTTAGCTTTCTTAAAAGGCAGCTTGTATTGATTTCTGTTAATGAACTACCCAAAGTGCAGAAGGCTGTTGTGGCTGGTGTTCAAAGCAAGAGTTCCACTTTGGCATGTAAATATATTTTCAAGTCTTGGCACACTAAGATTTGATGTTCATCGCCTTTCTCTCTCCTTTCAAAGGTGAAATGGAGAGGGGAAGTCTTATCCTACCAACATTACAAATGGCAAGCAATACGTCCTTCTGCAAAATGTTCCCTTGGAATCAAAGGCAGACTTTGCAGCGCAACCACTGCACTAAATTTAAAAGAAGCCATATGGAGTTGCCCATCTCTTTTCATGAGAAAGGCAAGGGAGGCAACATTCCCTCTCCCCTTCTACAGTTAAATTTTGGAGGACCCCTTGTTTTGTCTCTGAGATGCACAGGTAAAATTCCTTGGGAATTTCAAATGTGATGAGTCGGCGGCAGATGAGCTCTTGAGATTGCTGCCCTTTCCTCCCCGTGGAACAGTCATTCATAAGAGCTGACCTCTCTCGTCTGCTCTTCATGTATGAGTGAAGAGAGGGAGCAGGTGCTGCACCCTTCACCCAGAGTAACAAGAGGCATGTAAGAAAATTAAAATAACAGCATAACATGGAAAGAGACATGGAAACCTCTTTTCCCATTTTCATTGTAGCAGGATGAGAAAGTTGCCTGATTTCTGAAATCACCATACTCCAACAAAGCAGCAAGGGATTGAAATGCCAATACCCTTCTCTCCTTCTTCCCTCCTCACCCAGGCTGCTAAAAAATTCACCATTTTTTGTTTAAACTGTTTTAAAACTTATTGTTCTTCTAAAGGCAATAAATATCCATGGGACACTTCGGAGTGCTGTCACACAATGCTCATCTGCAATTGCATCTCAATACAATGCTGTTGTTCATCAGGGTTTTTTTTCCCTATCAGTATAGACAGAGATGGGATGGTTTCACCATGCACTTACTGACTGGCTGTGAGCCAGGAAACTCTTTATAAAACAGTTTATTTTCTTTATCCCTGTAATTTATCATCACAAGAGTTCAGAGGCATATCTTTGCATCTAGGACAGGAATAGTAATGAGTGCCATTGGAACAGATGAGGCACCTATGCCTAGGATTTGTTTTGAATTTGGCAAGTAAGGTGCTTTCCTTTTAATACAAATGCCCTTTCAATGAGGAAGAACTTAAACACTTCTTGGATTCAGTTCATTATCCAATCCCATCTATTAGTATACAGCAATTTTTTTAAGCTATTACAAGAGGGTTTATGATGAATAATCAATGTGTGGTTAAAATAAGAGTAATGGGAATATGACAGCTACAGCAGGTGTGTTTAAGCAATAAGTAGTCTATTTGTAAAAGTTTGAGATCTGTGATCACTCTCACAGTAAAGCTGTGTTTAGTTGACTAAAGGACACCACATTGTAATCTTTGAGGATATTTTGTAGAGTACAAGCCTGAGTGTAATTGCAGTAATTGTGCAGTGTTCATGCCAATGCACTAAACATAAGATTTCAGTTCAGTTATAATTGTATGCTGTTACATGTAAGAGATGTGCTTTTAATGCAATCTGAGTTTTTCAGAGGTGAAGGAACTAACACATATAAATTTTCTAAAACTAAGCACCATGTTCATTAAATGCTAGCTACTTCTTGTTTGCTGTGTCTTTTCCATAAAACATAATAAGATGCTGTCTTTTTCATGCACTCTGGATAAAGCATAATACATTTCTACTTCTGGTCTTCTGCATTCTCTGACTAAGGAATTTGAAGAAGTCATTGATTCCACTTAGGGAGATTAAATGTGAAACTTAAGCAAATGTAAGACTAAACTGTATCACAGCTCTATAAATTATTAGTTCAGCTTCTAATTTGCCCTTTGTTCAGAAGCATTGGATATAATTCTTTAGTAGGAGGTTTGGTGGTTCTTCAGAATGTCCTGATAATGCAGACTTGATGTCTGGTCCACAAATGACACAGAGATTCTGAGCACTTGCAAAACTGGCCTCAGTTTATGCATGCAACCTCTTGGCTCTTCTAAAAATCTAGCCTCTTTAAATACCTAAATTTGCACTTAATTTAGGTTTCTTTATGGGTAACATTCTGCCATAAAAAATGTCAAGTGGTACGACAACAGACTCTTCCAGCCATAGACCTAAATTTTTTTAGGAGAATGCATTTTTTTTCAGCAAAGAAAGCTGCCTTTGAATTCTGTGGTGACTTGAGAGGTACACACAGCTGAGAAGAAAAGGAAGTTCAGGGTCTGAAAATTAGAAGTGGATAAAGAAGGGGTTCTTCATCTCCATTTGTGGTTTTTTACCTCAAGGACAAGCTTGCATGTCACAAAGGGGAGTTATTTTCCTTCTGTAAAATGTCATAAAAGTTTTCCTTTTAGCAGAGAGTATTAACTGTGTGGAATATGTCTTCCTGGTGCCAGCAAAAATATGTTTGTCTCCAATTTTGATTTTTTCACCACTCTATCTAAAGCACTTGTCAAAGAGGAATAAGACAAAGAGACACTACAAATTTGTTTTCCTGTGATTTATAGTTGAAGTTACGAAATAAGGAAAGTATCTCTTTAGTATGTTTAAAAAATTGATGCCTAAGTCATGCTGTGTTTGCTGCTATTTCTGGGTACCAATATGTTAAGCTGGGAAGTTAATTGCATTCAATATACACCATGGATTCACAATCCCACGAGGTAGTTTGTCTGGATGAAATTCAAGTGTGAGCAGCTGAGGTATTTAAAACAGGCGTCCCTCCATTGGTCAGAGAATAAGTTAGCATTTACCTGCTATACTGGATGGATTAAAATTTCTGCTCTGATTTATCAGTCACCTCTATGGAAATTCTGTGTCATGGAGGTTTTTGAGCTCATTTGAGCATATGCAGGTCATATTTTCTTCCAAAAGGAGTAGGTTTATGTAATTTGCTTTCCATGTCTCTGTACCTTTATCCTCCTCCTTTTCTTTCTTCTGGTTCATCCAAATAGCTTTTGAAGAAATAACTTTTGAATAGAGAAATAGCATATTGAAAGACAACTGTGTCAAACAGCTTTCTCGGAGGTCATCTGAGTGAGAATGCAGTTGAGGTAGACACTCAGTGCCCTCTACTTGTAAAAAAGGAATCAAAAAAAGTTAGCTTAGATTTTTACTGGTAGTTAGTTTGATAAGAGCCTTAAAAATTTCTTTACCACAAGGAAATATGCAGCTAGATTTGACGGTCAGCTGAGCTACAGATCTGGGAGAAAAAACACTTTGTTAGTTGTTGAATTCCTTGTTCAATATAAAGAGCAGTAATTCTGCTGGAATAATGAGCCAAATTCACTCTTAGAATAGTTTCTGAATCCTCAGGGTAATTAATTTCTGATTTACATTGCATATTTTGGTTGCATAGCCAAGTCATACACAAAGGAGCATTGCAGTCATTTTGTGAGATCGAAGTCACCTAATTATATGTATTTATAATTACATACTGCAGTGAATTTTAGAAAAAGCAGTACCCTTTATATGTGCAAGCTAGAATCAGTCTTAATCTTCCCTTTCCACAGCCCTAATTAATTTGTGAATTGCATTCTATTGGACGAGTGAAGCAATGAAGTACCACCAAGAGAATCTGACTACTGAAGTTTCTTTCCAACCTAAAGGCTGTTAGATATTTTTCTTTCTCTTTCTGCATGACTGTGAGTATGCATGCACATACATACATATGCAAGTATGTACATAAGTTCACACCTTTTCTGTCAGTGTTCTTCCTGGCCCTAGCTGGTGCTTTTAAAATGTCTTAATAATTCTGTCTTTGTTGCTGCTCTGTGTGTTTTTCACAATGTTTATGGTCTATTAGGTGTGCACACTTTGCTTTACTACTTTAATCACTATTTTATTCATTCTCTAGTTATGTGAGTACTTTCCTTTCTTCTTTACAAGACCTTCAAATAAACTTATTTCTGTCTGGTATGACTTTCTGCTCTTAATTTTCTCTCATCTTAACATAAGCTATTTCAAGAAACCAACTGAACAGGCAAAATGATAGGCAAAGCTTACAATATCTCTTATTTAGGGACCAACAGATCTTGCATTAGAAGTGTATGCTATTATCTTTGATTTGCAGATTGGAAAGCAGAAGTACAAAAGCAATTTGTCCATGGCCTACCAGCATGCTGGTGGTATAGTTGGAAAAGATGCTCCAATTCCCAATATTCATCAAATGCTCTTTCAACAACAGCATCTCTGGTCTCAGCTTGTAGCAGCTCATGCCAGAGAGACCTGAAAGTGTGCTTATCAATTTTGCAGCTCCAAGAAGAATACTCATAATATAAAGATAGATTTAAGCCATTATCTTTATCTCAGAGTTACAAACTGTACTTTCCTTAACTGTTTCATCTAAAATACCATTTAGTCTTAAAACTAAGCTCTGGGACTTTTCATTTAGCTTTATTATCTTTTCTGCTTAAAAAAAGTTAAAGCAGCTCATTTGATTATATGGGCTGAAGATATAAAAAATTAGTTTTATTGAAACCTACATGCCTTTTAGTGGTTTAATGTTAGTGTGTTTAAATTGATAAAAGCACCAGTGTCAGTATGAAAAAGGGAAAACATCCAAATCAACTCTTCCTAAAAACCCTTGGCAATAAAAGGATACTCTACTAACATTTCCATTTTAGAATTACACTTCAGACGTTCAATCAGTCAGCAGTCTAGGGTATTAATTCTTTTAAGTGAATGCAAGCCTTCTTCCCTTTCTACTTTTAAAAAAAGTATCAAATCAGTCCATTTTCTTTTATGTT